CATCAACAACCTCTTCATCCGCCACATCAAGGGCCAGCTCGCCGCCATCCCCTGGTCCGAGGAGGAGCTCCTCCCCGAGTCCAACATCATCCAGCAGGAGCTCCTCGAGCTCAACACCCGCGGCTGGTGGACCGTCGCCTCCCAGCCCGCCGTCAACGGCATTCCCTCCCGCGACCCGACGTTCGGCTGGGGCCCCCAGCACGGCTTCGTCTTCCAAAAGGCCTTTGTCGAGCTCTTCATCCCTTCCTCGGACTGGGCCGGCCTCGTCGCCCGCCTCAACGAGGTGACGGACAACACAATCTGCTTCTACGCCGCCAACGGCGCCGGCGACTTTGTCTCCTCGGACGCGAGCGGCGGCCTCGTCCTCGAAGGCACGGAGGCGAGCACAAACGCCGTCACATGGGGCGTCTTCCCCGGCAAGGAGATCATCACCCCGACCATCATTGAGGAGGTCAGCTTCCGCGCCTGGGCCGAGGAGGCCTTCAAGATCTGGGGCGAGTGGGCCAAGGTCTACGGCAAGGGCAGCGAGAGCGAGGCGCTGCTGGAGCGGATAGGCTCCGAGTACTGGCTCGTCAACATTATACACCACGACTACGTCGAGAGGGATGCGCTGTGGAAGTTGCTGTCGGGTGAGAAGGAGACCTGAGGAGGCTCAACAACGTGTTTAGGATTTTTTTTAAAAAAAAGGCAAAAGGCAAAGGGAAAAATAGTAAAGTGCACAAGCGCTTGGTTCTTCTATATAGTTGCGATAAGCCCTAGCCATGAGTGAAAGAGGAGATACCCGATAATTCTTGCCTTGAAGATTCGATTCGATGCATTGTGAAATCCCCTTGCCCGTGCTAAATACCTAGAAATGAATGCAATAGACACCTTCAGGTGGGTGACGGTACTTCGCTGAACATATGTTATGGACCTATAGCAATCATCATCGCGAAGTGTTTAGTCACTGAGGGAACGTGATGCCGAGATGTGCAAATCAAGTCGGCCTAGTGCCTTGGTATCTCATTGAGAATCTCTTCCACGCACAAAAACTCTGCGAGCTCGGTGAGAAAAGATTCATCTATCTATAGACGCATAGGGAAAGCCCACTTCAGTATCCTTCGTTTTGTTTTGTACATGCTACCCGTGGTTGATATCCATCCAGGATGAAGGAAATAGTCCAAGCCCAACGCCAAAATCCCAGTCCGTAAAGAGAAGTAATCGATGCCACGACGTGGGAAAAATTCAGAACAGCGGCATAAGAAAGCAGACCTCGGGATCCTCCTTGTCCCAGGGTTTTCTTCGCTACGCCAATGTAAAGCCAGCTCAGATTTCTCCGTCGGCGCCCATGAAGGAGGAGTCGTAGCCGCCGTTGGAGTTCACCATGCTCTCGGCGAAACTGAAGTTGAGCTCATCATTCATGTAGTTGATGGGATTGAAGATAGCTGCATCCATTGACTGCGAGAAGCTGTCGTTTCCGGTGAAGCTAGCCATGGCGGTAGCGGGCTGGATGATGGTCTGATGTTGAGAAACGGCCTCCTCAAAGGACGGATGCTGAACGGCAGCAGGCTTGGCCTCGGCGATGGGAGGGAGCTCGTAGCCTGAAGCGTTGTTGGGGGTGTCTACCTCACTATCGGAGGTGGTGAGGTCGACGGCAGCAGCTTGTGCAATAGTTGCAGCCGCAGCGATAGTAGCGGCGCGGCTCGGCGTTGCGCTGCGACGAGGAGTGGCTTTGTTCTTAGTCACACGGCCGTCGATGACGTTGTGGACGCGAGTCTTGGAGGGAGTGTCCTCGAGCGCGTTATAGTCGACGGCATCACTACCCTCTTCGTCATCGTCAGACATAGGATCAGTCTTGATCGGCATGGTCTTCTTGGCCGTGGTTGAACGACCACCGCCCGAGGCGCGAATCTTGGCACCAGACGGGGTTCGGGGCTTCCGGGGAGTCGAAACGTTGCTGCTAGTACCGCCAGTGAAGGTCAAGACAGAGGCGGGGTTACCACCACTGTTGGCAGTCTGCTTGAGGGACTCAGCGTCCTTCTTAATGCCACGGAACTGGAACTGGATGCCATCGGCAGTGGATTCGCCGAAGAACTTGGCAATCTCTGTTTTCTCATGTCAGTATACTCCCTATCCAAATCATAGTAAAAAGGTAGCGAACTCGAGGAAAGCACGGGAGAGTAGAAGCCAGGAGACAGTGATGGATGACAGCAAGGAAATCAATGTAAAAGCCGGGGCGACGGTTACCCTTCTTCTCCTTCGGAAGATCCACGGGGATGGCCTTGCAATCCACACCCTGCTCATCGGCTTCCCGAAGCACATATCCTTGATTCTTGAGAGCTCTGAACCGATGGTTGAGAGCGTCCTTGGTCATATCCGAACCGTAGAACTTCTGGATGTCTGCCGTACGTCAGAAATGACGTCGACCATGGTGAAAAGCAGAAGGAAAATCGAGACAGACGAAAAACAAGGATTGGGTCGAACGGAAAGAAAGGAAACACGCGTAGTTCTTACCCTTGTAGTTCCATTTGACATCGGAGTGAGCGGCCACGATGGCGCGAAGGAGTCGAGCCTGAGACTCGTAGGTCTTGAAGTTGGCAGGAGCCATCTTGGTCTGTAATCTATGGAATCGACGCGTCAGTACTTAGTCGACGGAAAGTCTAAGGGAGAAGAGAAAGGAATATAGCGTAGGTAGTGGAACAGGGGATCAGTGACGATCTAGTGAATACGTACCTGTTGGTAATGGCAGGCTTTCTGTTTGCGAGTGACCTAGGATGGAAGTATTAGGTCTGGGTGGATGTTGAGAGTGTTATGTTGTGGTGTAGAAGATAGAAGCCCGGTAAGTGTCGAGGGGCAAAGTGAGGTAGGTAGCGCGGAGGTGGGTGAGTGCGGGAAGGAGGAAGAGCTCAGAGGAAAAAACGGAAGGCGGAGTGGTAAGAAAAGGTAGACAGGCAATTGCGGCAGGCGACAATTTCTTTGCACTTTTTCCAAAGACTGGAAACAGAGAGAGATCTCAGGTGATAAATTGGTGTACTTACTGAGTGCGACGGCTGCTTTGATGTAGTCCCTTAAGAATGTAGTTGGCAGCTTGTTGTGTGCCTCTGAAGTGTGTGCGTAGACGTCAGCTTTGGCACTGAGTGTGAGGTGAAGAGAAGAGAGTGTGAATAGATGAGTTCGAGTGAGGTGAGGGTAGAAGAGTGAGGTTGGGCTTAATGGAGGATGTGATATTTTAAAGTGCAGGAGGGCGGTGACGAGCCTAATGGGGAAAGAGCGGCCTAGCTGTATCGACTTACACGAGGAAGGAGGTTCCGCAGTTGCGTGTCTACCGCGTAGTCAAGGCGGGATTTGTACTAAACAGGTCGGCCAGTCAGCTAAAGCGTTTTGAAGTGTATGAGATCAAAAGCCATGGAAGGTGAGAGAGGTAGATTTTGTCTGAGTGCAAGTCTTGTGAGACCATATGTAGCTCACAGATAGGAATGCTTGAGGGAGGTTGGGAACTGGTGATGCTGTAGGCAGTAGCAATGCGTGGAATATAGCTAGAAGAAGGGCTGCTCATGTGTAGCGACAATAAAGTCACACAGAAAAGTCCAGCACTTCTTGGTGAAGCTGCCCCAAGTTCTCTGTTCTCTTTCCATGGCTGTGGTCTCTGTCTAAGACGGAAACCGGGAAAGCAGGCTTCAACAGTAACCAACGCCGGCATGGAGCACAATCCAAAGCCAGGCCATCATGATACTTCTCACATCTTCCAATGGAAGTGAAGTTCCATCGGATAGACTGATGAAGATTCAACCCGGGGGGGCTAAGTCGTTACAGAGCGCTCGTCTCTTGACGATCTCTGGACAGTAGGAAACACACTACACTTGCTTACCTTGAGCAAAGGCCGGTCCAAGTCTCCAGCGTGGCGCAGACCGGCTGAGCTTTTTGTTACCCGGAGAATAAACCGCGAAACAGTCAGATCTCTACGTAAAATGCCCTCTATGAGATCTCAAGTCCGACTGCCCTACGTGCAGTACAAGGAACACCCAAGTAATAGACCAGAGACCGAACTGGGATGAATGCTGCTGATGCACGAGGCACGGCGATGGAGCTTTTTAAACTAGCTTAGAATGCAAGTTGATAGACTGTCGATAGACCGTCCGGAAATGCCCCGGGTTTCTTTTTCAAAAGCTGAAATATCGAGTTGCGGATTGTTTCAAAACGTCGATTTTGGTGCCTGGAGAACTGCTTCGACGATTTGGGAAATTTCTCGATGGTTGGCCGGGTGAAGGAACAAATAGTTGGATGGAATATAAGGCAGACAAAAGAGCTGGCGATAAGTCGTAGTATATGAAGATCGAGAGTGTGAAAAATAAGATTATAAGTGAGCGTTTCTTTCTTTGATTATTCAGAAGGAGTCAATGTTGGATTTGAGCTCTTCGAGTTGTCAGTCGTCTTAAGATCGGATTTGACGATGATGGTGTGGTACGGTAGTTGTCAGTTGGGTGGCCAACTCGAAAAGTGGGTGGTTGGGAGCCTCTGCAACTCCTGGGTGCTGGCGATGTTTGGTGATACTCAGTTAAGGAACGACTTGATCGCCAGGCTCACTACTTGTCCACCAAATCAAAATAAATGCATATAAGATTCTGAAGCGTGTATATAAAAACTTGGGTATCCAGATGAATGAGCGTCACCCAGAACAACATTTCCTACGCCATTCGTGATGCCAAACGCCGTCTTGGAAACCAGCCAGCAAAGTACTCACTAACGCTAGATAACGACGTGAGCCACCATCTAGAGAAGATTGAGCTCTTGTTCGCTCATCAAACCCCTGCAGTCCCACGGCAATTATCATTGGCCCTAGGTTGTTGGCCCCTGAAACTCCTTTTCTAATCCCTGTCTAAGCTATCTCTCTCATATCTTTTTTACACTATTTCGCAGAATTCACAACGCTGCTATGCGGGATGCATCCGTACTCATCGGTGGATCGCGAACCAAAATAACCATGGTACATTGGAAGAGCAGGCAATCGAGATGACTGGGATTTATCGTAACTCCTTGCCAAAGGGGCTAGAGGTTCTTCGGCCGGCTGGACTGGACCTGCCACTGACGTGCTCGGGCAAAGGAGGCTTGTAGACCCCGTTAGGGTACTGAGGATACTGGGACATGGGGTGCTCCTTGATCTCACCCTTCTCGCCATCTCCGTACATGAGATACTGAACACCGAGGAACGAGTCGCATCCGGCCTGGAACATTCCACACAGCTTGAAAGCCCAGGGGATCTCCGTCGTCGACGTGAAGAACCAGAACATCTTCATGGCGTCACCAATCAGCCAGCTTGCCAGCACGGAGAAGCGGAAGCCCTTGCAAGACTTGGATCGCGAATTGGAGAAGATCTGAGGCAGGGGCAGCGTCGCCTCGACCGAGAGACCAACGTAGCCGATGAGCATGGAGTAGGTTTGGTATACGGGTCGCACGGGCGCGAGGAGCAGTTCGCAGACGGTCAAGCCGATGAAGAGGTAGAGGAGGAATTGCCAATACCTATAGCAGCTATTAGTCGTAGCACACGATGCGCTGCGCAAGACGAAAGACTCACGGCTTGGGCGACCTCCACTGCCAGAAGTGGTAGGGTCTCTGTGCGCCAAAGACGGGGCCGTCGTTGACGTTGGCGAACGGCGTCGCAGCCTCTCCACCCTTGGCCGATGGTGGCAAGCGGTGGTCCAGCGCAATCTTGAGCAAGATGACTTGCATCACAATCATGAGCAGGGCCTGTATGAGCAGGGCAGTATCGAATCGCGCGCCAGGCCAGTAAAAGATCCTGTAGAAAAGAGACCTGTCAGCTTACGTCGGAAAAGACGGGGCAGATGTGCTCCACGTACTTCAGCAGAGAGGCTACCAGCATAATCAGCGGGATATCGAGAGAGAAGCCGGCGCTGGACTTGTTCTTGTGCATCGACAAGGCTTGGTCGCTATAGGAGAGAACTGGCGACATGATGAGGAAGATGGGGGCCAGGTAGCCCGCAAAGGATGTTAACCAGCGCATGATGGCGACGTTCGAGGGTGCGAATTGCTGCGGCGCGCAAGATGCTGGAGCGAAATGGACCAAAGCCAGGAGCACGAGACAAGTTGGATGAGGTTGGGAGGAAAGGGGAACCGGATTAAATCGTCCCAAGAATCGACGGACGCGTCGAAAGGAAAAGAAGTGACGAAGCGGAGCGCGGCGGGCGGGCAATCGCAGAGTCGTCGAGGCCGATCTAAGAAATTGGAGAAGATGGGTATTGCTATAAGGGGAGCCAATCAGTCTGGAAGCCAAGGCAGGTATGGACTTTCCAGCGTTCCCACCAGTGAAGCGAATTGCTTGTTTTTTTTTTGCTGACGTCGCCTTTGACCTCTTGCCAAATGTCCCGAGTGCCCTTTTCTGTACGGCAATCGAATGCTCCGTACCTTAGAAGGTAGAGCCCGAGTGGTAGTGACAGGGTTTAGCACCTGGGCGGGAGTGGAGGACGCCGGCGGATGAGCAGGAAAGCTGAAGTGCCGCCAGCTGACGGCCACTCGCACGGAGAGGTGGGAGGGTCCCGGCGTCCCGAAAGTTTGGGCGATCTTACAGCGGGACTCGCAGCGGAAAGGTCACGCACGACCTGAAGTTCTGAACAACCTTAGCTTACGGATACAACCTTTCGCGCCTACCAAACCTGATGACCTATTGCGCTACGACAGGATGGGCACGCTGCCTGACGTTCTTAGTAGAGTACTTGCGTCTGCAGTGCTGTTGAGCAACCGCAACAATGTAGATTGTGATTGACCTTACTTCGGCATCATCGGATGGAGATTTTGCGATGGCAGGCCTGAGCATGAACGGGTGGCTTCTTTGCTGTGCTCGGGTTGGCCCTCGGTCATGCATCCCAAGTCAATCCATGATTCGACACATGCTCTGACCAGTGATGGGTCTCGAGAGTCGAAGAAGTGAAGCACTAGTCACGACGTCTCTGGGATGGTTCTTGTTCGCCCTCACCGACCTCTTCTCCCGTCTGTGTCTGTCTTGATATATTCTGGGCCGTGTCTTTCCGCTCGACCCCCACAAGCCACACACAAGCCAATGCACCAGCCACACACAGTAACAACTTGGAACCTGGAAGGCACGAAGGCTCCGACAGCGGGCACAACTTGCCATTTGAACACTGAGGAGGGCAAAGGGACACCTACGTGGGTACGAGTAGAAAGAGGTCACCAGCCACGATTCATGCGCACCTGACTCCCGGACGTGGACCTCGTCAAGCGGCAACATTTGTAGTTTGAAGGCAGTGACAATGACATTTGTCGCGGTGAATGCGCAAAATGCGGGAGAGCCACTCCACCGCCACAAAATAAGTCTAGTGCCCCGCGCCTCTAGTCGACGAGAGAAAAAAAAAAGTCACCAACGCCTCCGATTTTCATTATCGGCCGCCTATCTGCAGCTGCCCCACCAAAATTTCAAAATCACCCCGCCATCTCGGAGCGGAAGACTCACAAGATGCCGCCGCCTAAAAACTTATCTCTATCGCCAACCCGACATCCACGAACGCCGGGCGAGACTTCCTTTTTGATCGAAGGCCGCTCTCCGTGTCCTACGCCCACTGTAGGCAGAATGGAGTTTCTTACCCTCGTTGGCCAGGAGGCCTATACCACCAAGCAGGCCGAAGAGCTCAAGACGCGCATCAACAAGCTCGACGCTGCGTCAAACAAGGTCGTCAGCGTTGCCGGCATCTGGGTCTACTACGTTCACCTCAAGAACAGTGACAACAACCTCATTGTCCAGCAAAAGCTGACAAAATGGCTCGGTCTGCCCGACCAGACAATCGCTCAGATTGCCGCCAACACTGATACCCAAAAAACTTACTACATTACCCCGCGGAACATCTCGCCTTGGTCCTCAAAGGGAACCAGCATCACTCACGTCTGCGGTCTCGCGGACAACATTGACCGTATCGAGCGCGGCAGGGCCATCACCCTCACCTTTGAGACCCCGGTCTCTGACGATGAAATCGCCTTCAAGGATGTCGTCTACGACCGTATGACTGAGACAATTGGCCTGTCGCGCCCCGATCTTTCCGCCATGTTCATTGAGGGCCAGCGATTCCCATTGGAAATTGTCGACATTTTGGGTGACGATGTTCAGAACGCCGATGCCGCAAAGGCCGTTGAGACTCTCAAGTCGTACAACAAGCAATTCGGCCTGGCTTTGGACGACTCTGAGATTGAGTACCTCGTCCAGGTATTCAAGAACCTTGGACGCAACCCCCACGATGTGGAGCTTTTTATGTTCGCTCAGGTCAACTCGGAGCATTGCCGCCACAAGCAGTTCAACGCCAACTGGACCATTGATCAGCAGCGCATGGGCAAGAGTCTCTTTGAGATGATCAAGAACACCCACAAGTCCAACCCCGAGTACACCGTCTCTGCATATAGCGACAACGCGGCCGTTCTCCAGGGTGAGACTGCCAGCTTCTGGGCTCCCGATTACTCCACCGGCAGCTGGAAGCTCACCAAGGAGGTCGTCCATGTCCTCGTCAAGGTTGAGACACACAACCACCCCACCGCCATTTCGCCCTTCCCTGGTGCCGCCACTGGTGCCGGAGGTGAGATTCGTGATGAAGGTGCCGTCGGCAGGGGCTCTGCTCCCAAGGCCGGTCTCTGCGGTTTCTGGGTCTCTGACCTGTTGATCCCCGATGAGAAGGCCCCTTGGGAGGTTGACCTGGGTAAGCCTGCTCATTTCGCTAGCAGTCTCGACATTATGCTCGAGGCCCCCATCGGTAGCGCTCGCTTCAACAACGAGTTTGGAAGACCTTGCCTTCTCGGCTGCTTCCGCACTCTCCTAACCAACGTCGGCAAGGAGGAGTCCCCCGAATGGCGCGGATACCATAAGCCCATCATGATTGCTGGTGGTGTTGGAACGGTCCGCCCTCAACACGCCCTCAAGGAGCTCGGCGACGTCCACGATGGTGCCCACGCCATCGTTCTCGGCGGACCTGCTATGCTCATCGGTCTCGGCGGAGGAGCTGCCTCCTCCAACGACTCCAGCGAGGCCACTGCCGAGCTCGACTTCGCCAGTGTCCAGCGCGGCAACCCTGAGATGGAGCGCCGCGCCCAGATGGTCATCGACACCTGTGCCGCCCTCGGCGACCAGAACCCCATTGCCATGATTCACGATGTCGGTGCTGGTGGTCTGTCCAACGCCCTTCCCGAGCTCGTCAAGGATGCTGGTTTCGGCGGCAAGTTCGAGCTGCGCCAGGTTCACAGCGCGGACAGCAGCTTGAGCCCCTTGCAAATCTGGTGCAATGAGGCCCAGGAGCGTTACGTTCTGCTTGTCAACAAGGAGAACATTAACCGTTTCGTTAGCATCTGCCGTGAGCCCCTCTCTATCATGTCTGCAAAGCTGTTGTATCATGCTAATTCGCACCCTAGGTCGTGAACGATGCCCCTTTTCCGACGTAGGAACCGTCGCCGCTCAGGACGCCCAAGGCAACGCCAAGTTGACCCTCAGTGACCGTGACTCGCCCGAACAGCCGATGCCCATTGACCTGCCTTTCAACGCCCTCTTCCCTCCCGGCCGCCGTCTCGAGCGTGTCGTCGAGTCCCGCAGGTTGGATCTTCCCTCATTCAACGCTGCCGAGGCTCTCGCTTCCGCCGGTGCTGCTGAGGCCACCAACACCGCCGCCCTCATCACCGCCGCCACTGAGCGCGTCTTCCGCATGCCCGCCGTCGGCTCCAAGTCATTTCTCATCACGATTGGTGACAGAACCGTCGGAGGTCTCTCCATCCGTGACCAGATGGTCGGTCCCTGGCAGACTCCCGTCGCCGACTGTGCCGTCACGGCAACCTCATTCAGCCTTGACTCAAGGACTCGCACTGGTGAGGTCATGGCCATGGGCGAGAAGCCCCAGTTGGCTCTCATCTCTCCCGCCGCGTCGGCCCGTATGGCCGTCGCCGAGAGTCTGCTCAACCTCGGCGCTGCCGACATCCTGGGCCGCCTCGATCGTGTGAAGCTGTCAGCCAACTGGATGGCCGCTGTCAACCACCCTGGCGAAGGTGCTGGTCTCTACGAGGCCGTCCAAGCCATTGGTATGGAGCTGTGCCCTCAGCTCAAGATCTCTATCCCCGTCGGTAAGGACTCTACCTCCATGAAAGCCTCGTGGAAGGACCGCGAGTCTGGCGAGGCAAAGAGCGTCACAGCCCCCATGTCCGTCATCATCACGGCCGTCACCGTCGTCGAGGACGTCCGCAACACATGGACCCCTCAGCTGCGCCGCGTCGAAGACGTCGGTGAGACGATCCTCATCTACGTCGACCTCGCCGAGGCCAAGAAGGCCATGGGCGGCTCCGCCCTGGCGCAATCATTGGGACAGATGGGCAACGAGGCACCGGACGTGCGCAACGTGGATCTCATTACGGACTACTTTGATGCTCTGCAGCAACTACACAAGAGCGGCGTCGTTCTCGCCTACCACGACGTCTCAGACGGTGGTCTCCTGACCACCGTCGCCGAGATGATGTTCGCCGGCCGTTGCGGCGCCGACCTCATGCTTGACGGCATCGCCAAGTCCGGCTCCCCCAACGACATTCTCGAAGCCCTCTTCCACGAGGAGCTCGGTGCCGTCTTCCAAGTCCGCAAGGAGGACGAGACCAACTTCAAGCGCTGCTTCGCCACCTGCGGCCCTCCTCCCGGCCTTGTCCGCACGTTCGGTGTCGTCCAGCCAAAGGGCAACCAGACTCTCAACATCCGCTACGGCGGTCACACACCCATCGTCAGCATTGATCGCGCTGAGATGCAGCAGTGGTGGTCGAGGACGTCGTACGCCATGCAGAGGGAGAGAGACAACCCGGCGTGCGCAGACAGCGAGTACGCCATCGTCTCTGACTCGACCGACCCCGGTCTGTCGTACAACCTTACCTTCTCTCCGTCAGAGAACATCATGCCCCTGACAGCCTCCCTCGGTAGCCTCCTCCGCAAGGCGCCCCGCGTCGCCATCCTGCGCGAGGTGGGCGTCAACAGCCACAAGGAGATGG